TATGGGGAGCAGCTCATTTCCCTGGAGGAGCCAGCCTGAATGTGAAGCCACAGGCAACAGGGACTCTTTCCACAGGCTGCATCTGCAGTAAGGCTAGAGGCTTTGCCTGAAGGCTGTTCCTTAAGGCTTCCCAATAATTTGTGAGCATTTTATATCCCACGGAAAATCCTCTTATGCTCAGTGGACTTGACATTGGTAACCAATAACAATGACCAATCCACACTAATGGCATTATCACAACCTTTTTTTGTTGGTGATTATAATACTTAACTGTGGACCTGTCATAAGAGGCCAGCATGAACTGTTGTAGAGGGTTTGAAATCTTGATTCTCTTCTGATTTTTATAATAGGGTTTTTAGGTAAATGCATGTATGGGACAAAAGTCCTCGGGTAGGAGGCACAGTCTACAGATAGCATGGCAACAGCCCATCTAATCAACTCTAATCACTGCTTAGGAATGGGATTTTATACTTTAATGATTGTACAGCTAAAAGGTGGTGTCATAGTGATCCTATTAAGACATTTTAAGAATTTCTAAAGGGAAAGATGCGAAAAAGTGTTTGCTAGGGGCAAGGTGTTTGTTGGTGGAAGCTTTAGAGATAATTATACTCAGAATTTATGACAAGAATGTAACTTTTGCTTATATCATTTAAGGAGAAGTTATATTTTAGGTAATGATTGTAGTTTGACCAACTTAGCTTTTCAGAAATTGTGCTTTGGAATGTCACGTTGTTAATTTTCTGATGTTACTAGTTTTCATTTTTTAAGCTATATTTAGCCATAGATAACTGTTGTAACATAGCCCATGTCTTTGTCTCCTTTTGCAATGATTGAATCAACTGATTTTTCTTGAGAAATTTCCTTGTCTTTGCCATAAAAAACAGAAGCTAACTTTGGATCTGGGATGTATCCAGTTTTCTCCTCCTAACAGAGGAGTTACTGAGATGCAGCCCCTTTGGGCTTCTCATTGCATTGATGATGTTTGAGTAATCCTTTTCTAATCTCCTTTACACAGTGAAAAGTATAACAAACTGTCTTGCATATCATTGAAAATGAGGGCTCATAAGCACAGGAAGAGCTGCTGGGTTCTCACCCAGCTGCACTGACTCAGGGCATAAAATGAGGAGACTGAACACTTTTCATCAAATCCTTCAGGCGTGCTTTCTTCAGCCTTGGGAAAGTCCTCCACATGCATTCCATGATCAATACCTGTGGAACACTCAGGAGGACTTCTGTAGATATCCCAGGTTCCTTCTTGTGGATCTCTCTCCTCTCTGTTTCTCTGTCAGTTTTCACAAGGTCCCTTCATGATCCTGCAGGTTATTGAGGACTCCCTGGCCTCGTTACTCTCATAGCAGGACTGGCTGTGTCTCCATCCTCCTACTCCCTTCCTCCCTGTCTTCTCTGAAACCCAGAGCAATTCCTGATGTGCTCTGGTCTTGATCTTCATCCTGCTTTGGAATGAATTGATCCTCTTGTGTTCTGGGCTGTTTCAGGGGTTTAGATTGATTCTAATCCAGGCATCAATTTTGGTATCTTGTTCTTGGAAGAAAGAAATGATATTTTTAAAAATTATTCTTCTAATACTTATGTTAGGCATCACTCGTCAGAGCTTTCATGCTGAAGAGCTGTGGGAAATAACATTGAATGGTTGTGAGGTTTATTGTACGAAGGTTCCCAAACCAAGAATTATATGAAGTCCATTTAGTGAATTGATATAAGAAAGACCTATTAACGTTGGATAATGATTTGTCTGTGAGTGACTCCCATTTGAAAAACCATAGTGCATGTATAGTAAATTATTTGGTCTTATAGTGATAAAAATGATGGTATAGTGCTGTTATACAATGCTTTAGAGTAACTTTAACATGCTGTGCAGAAACTGGGTTTTTAATTTTTTAAAATTGGAAACAATTTTATATTTACTGAAAGGTTCTAGGTACAATACAATGTACTACTGTTTACTCCTGAACCATTTAGGCCTCTCACTCGAAGACATCACTACGTGTTTCCTACAAAGAAGACATGCTCTTACATACTAGCAATACTACTGTGGAATCACCAAATCATTATTAATTCATCACTGTGCCTAGTCCTTAGTTTCATTTACAGTTTTGATAATTTTCATATTGATGTCTTTTTTAACAAATGATCCAGTCCAGATGCACATGGTGCCTTGATTGGCCCATGGATCTTTGGTTTCCTTCCATCTGGGCCAGTTCTTCGGTCTTTCCTTGACATTCATTTTCTTATCACATTTGAATACTACTCACCTGTTATTTTGTAGAATGTCTTTCACTATGTATTTTGTTTAATTTTCATCCTGATTAAGTTCTGCTCGGGAATATCCAGAAAGGATGCTGTGTTCTTACTGCATCTGATCAGGCAGTTCATGATTTCAAGCTGTCCCAGGACTGATGGCATTCACTTGGAACATGGATGAAGGTGGTGTCTGCCAGACTTCACCCTTGCACTTTGTCTTTTAAAAAAAAAATAAAATAAATTTAAGTAAATAAGAATTTGTAGAGAAGTCATTTGATGTATTGTTAATATCCACTTCATAATCAAAATGTGGACTCATATATTCAAAGTTAATTCAATGGATTATAATACGTTACCATTGTTACTTATTTTGATAGTTAACATTCCACTCATTAGTCTAATAAATTCTTTAATCGAGCTGGATTCGAATACATGCTACTTCTACCTTATCATTCTCTATGAACTTCCCTAGTTTAGGCCAAAAGTTGGACAAGGCCCGTCTTGTATTTTCCACATCCTAGACTTGGAATCATTCATATATCCAAGAATTACTGATTCTTTTAAATGGAGATTGGTATTCAAATGAATGATATTTTGGGCAATAAAGTTGTTTGTTGGGACTGATGTGTCATTGCTTCTTGGAAAATGAACTACTTTCTATCTATCTATTCACACAGATTTTTATCTATATAAATAAAAAACTATAAATTTACACTGAAATCTCTAATTACAATAAAAATTACAGTTTATTCTCATACTATTTCTTTTTCTATTTGTAACATTTCCCTCCAACTGAGAATATTGTCTCCAATTATCCTCACTTCATTTACTTATTTGATCAATTTCTCCATGTAAAACCAATCTGCTGTTGTCCTTGCCACCTACACTCTCCTGGAAGACAAGTTTTTTCACACACGTCACACTTGCGTTTTCCCTTGTACCGCTTGCTTGCCTGTGATTTGAAAGAGAGTGTCCCCACATCCTGCACTCCCATGTGGGACACTGCACCCTAGCTTCAACACCCCATAGTGGGCTTTTCTTTCTACCCTACACCATGAATGCCCTTTCCATACTGTGTGGGCTCCAACACCTAGTGCAACACCCTGGCTTTCCCTTTCACCGTGTTGCATATTTTTTCTCCTGGAATTGCATGGATCATACAACCTAAACCCAGCAAGTAAGAACTGTTTTCTTTTAGAAACTAGAATAATTTGGTGATGTTGGAATATGGAAGTTTATGGAGTGATCGAACAACTTAGAAAACATCTGGCATGGAAATGTGTAATGGCACGAAGAGCTAGAAAAGTAGCTGAGATTTTTCAGATTCGGAGGGAGAACATCCCTGATGTTGGATGGCCTTGATGGAAGTGGTGAAAAAAGCACTCAGAACTGGAGAACAAGAATAACTTATCTGGAGATGACAGGTTAGTAATGGCATATACCCTCCTTGCAAATCATCACACTATATTTTAGATGTATTTTCAATATTTTTTGGTTTTCTTTCTTTCTTTAAAAAAAGTATATAAATAAATCTATTACCTATCTATTGTTCTTATACTTCATTACATCTCTAGTTGGTAGTTAGTACTGATGATTTTCCACATCAAGGATTTCGGGGAATTAGGTCAAATGAACATCCCACTGGTTTCCATAAGGTCAACATATAGCAAATACAAGGAGATTTTCAAAGTTTTTATAGTTTCTAGAGATGTGTTTCTCTGACTAGCCCTTCCTTTGAGGAAAATCAAACAAGAAAAGAATGTCCTGAACCGGAAACACAGCAAAATAGCGCTCTACCCACAGGACAAAAGAATAATTCTGCTTTCTGGTCCCCAGGGAGAAATTGCTCTGTGGTCCCCAGGGAGAAATACGTTCTCTGAAGGCAAATTTGTGCTGCCATAGTCAGTCTCGGGACACCTGGGCCTGAGCTGAGTTCTTGAGACGTCATGCTTGCAGCTGTTCAGATTTGCATGTGTCTAGAGCACAGCCCACTACCCTGAAGTCTTATTCACAGGCTGCTCACAACCTGTGCAGGACTCTCAGTCCCTGTCAGGACACAGCATGGACATGAGGGCCCACACTCAGCTCCTGGG